ATCATCATCATCATCATCATCATCATCATCATCATCATCATCATCATCATCATGTATTCACATCCTGTGTGTCATACCTGTGGTTGGAGGTTCAGTTCATTCTTCTCCTTGTCTCCTTGGTCAAAAAATTCTGTGACGACCAGATCTGACACCTGGTGTTTTGAAAGGGAAGAGAAAGTAATGGGTTGTCAGAGGAGCCAGACGAGGAAGGGAAGGACGACGAAGAGGGTTAGATAGGGGACAGAGAAGACTTGGCTCACGTATGTATAACATTTTCATGTTTGCTCGAATATTATTCATTCGTTTAGTCACTCAGTCCACAACTCTCTCTTTCTATTTGTGTGTCTTCTTCTTCTTCTTCTTCTTCTTCTTCTTCTTCTTCTTCTTCTTCTTCTTCTTCTTCTTTTTCTTGTGTATATGTGTGTGATTGTGTGTGTTCCGGTTTCGCACCCCCACAGGTGAGCAGAGTGGGCCTGATTCTCCGTTTGGACTTCTCTGTTGACATCTACTCTTTGACGCTCATTTGACCTTATGCAGTAGCGAGCGCCGTAAAACCTTTACTAAAAACAAACAAGCTTTCGCACCCATCATCGCTTGTTGTGTGGTATTCAAGCTTTTTCATTGGTATTTTTTCTGTTTCTTCGCTTACTTGATTCGTCACCAATAGACCCCCCCCCCCTCACCATATTCAACTGTCTGCTGCATGTATGGAGTCTTTGTGTGTTTATCACAGGACCATCCTACGAGCTTCTGTGGTGTAATAGTTGAGAGGCTTGTCATCTTCCCACACGAAAGGTGTAACCTTGATTCCGGCTTGGGGGGAGTCTAATTTCTTCGAGCATCTCCGTCTTTCTGCTGGAATGTTGAATCCCTCTAACCCCGGGTTTTTTCCTGAAATGCTGAGTAGAAACAACCCTCACCATATTTATTTTAAAAGTACCCATCAATCTTGAATAGAAATCAAAACATCTGCAAGTGAAAAAGAAAGGGGGGGGGGTAGTTTTAAGAAGGAAGAAGGTGATATCAGTGTCACAAAATGTTTTTAACAGCTTCTTAAAATTAATATTGAAATGTAAAAAATGTGGTAGCAGAAAATTGGTTCGGTTTTGTTACATAGAATCTGGAAAACACATCTCTCTGTAAGTATTCAATAATACTTATTATTTGTCATTGTGTTGAAATAAGGCTCTCGTCAAAATGATGAATTCGAAGAAAGACAGAAACTTTTTTTCCGTCAGTGAGAATACCAATCAAATTTTTTTTTATTCTCTTTTTTTCCTTTTAGCTCAACAGCTATTACGTTTATTCAAAAAGGCATTGATGTGATGATTTATTTTTTTCTGGAAAAACGTTAAAGATGAACCCTATAATACATCCGAAAACAGACGAGAGCCTCATTCCACCATGTCGTGATACAATTTCGGCTTCTTGCTTTGCGGTTGTCAAGAAATATTTTGTCGAAATTCAAATTATATGCTATCTAAAAAATTAAGAAAGGATACACGACGTAAGTACAACTATTAAAAGACTAAAGCCTTTTCCCTCTTTCCTGAAAAATCTTGCTGTCTAGGATTAGCACATTTATTTGAACTGCTTGTCGGGCGTATTTATTTTATTCATAATGAACGTGAAATTCGAAATCCCGCCTCTAAAATGACATAACTATGTTGAAAGGGGCGTTAGACATGTATCATAATGCTATACCATCAGACACAATATCTCAGACCACAATCAAGCACCGCGAATATGATCGTGTATAGACTTGATAGTAAAAGGCGGGCATTCATTGACATCCCTTGCCTACCACTGACAGCTTCATTTGTATAAGTCTCACAGGTCTCGTCATATATTTCGGTTGCAACAAACTGTGTTCAAATTAATTGTATTGCAAGTCTTCCCTAGTCTCCAGTGAGTCGCATCTGAGATGAACCACTTCCAAGAGCAGAAAGCTAAAGGGAAGTTGAAGAGCATCTCTAGACTTGCGAAGTAATGCAAACTTGTTTTAGTATACAGGTTTTTTTTCGGAAAAAACGTAGTAGTAGTAGATAGATTTTGTCTGTGTATGTGTGTGTGTGTGTGTGTGTGTGTGTGTGTGTGTGTGTGTGTGTGTGTGTTTCTACGTTTTTATTTATTTCAACAAAATCAACTGACTGGCACCTGCAGTGTAATTTTGTGAAATGGGCTTTTTCAGACCTCCTTCTCGGGACCAACAAAGACAGTATAGGATACATGCGACTCCAAAGATGGAGATTTTCAATAAAATATTTGTAACTGTCTCCACTACCCCATTAAATACAGGAAGAATGTTCTAGCAGTTAAGAATCCAAAGTTTCAACAAGTGAGGGAGTGGTCCGGGGGTGGGGGGTGCATTGAACCAAGCACCTTTTGGCGTGCGAGTGAGAGGAGAAAACATTCTTTCTACACGATGGAACTTGTGAATGTTTAATCTGTGATCGCCGAACTGAAGATGATACGGTAATCAACTTAGTGAATGAACAAAACTGGTTAGGGTGTGTGTCAGAAATGTTTTATGAATTAATGTTTTATTAACTAGCGAGTCAATAGGAATCAAGCAGAAATTAAAAATAAAAGAGCCAAAAACAAAACGGACCACATTCGAATGTTCAAATACATGTTTGGTGTATGTAAATGTAAATATATAGACCTTCTGTAGTATTTCTGAAGGTGCATAGTGATAACTACGAACTACGCTAGAAAAATATGAAAAGGAATGATTCATTTCTGCTCATTAGAAAAACCTCGAAACAGACTAGTAATAATAGTTATGTTGTACCATTCGTGTGCAAGTACAAATGTATAATCAATATACATTTTAGGTTCAATATCAGAGGAAATAAAAAATGCTCTACGCCTAGTATCACAGATATAAGTCAGTCATCTCAGAACATGTGTACTCTACCGTCAGCTAGACATCAATTACACACATTACGTATAATTTAATACTGAAATGAACGTGGCAAAGAAAGATTTGCATGGCTCTACGATGTATAAACTTTCTTAGACAGTACATGTACTATGATGTACCGGTATTAATATTATGAAAAAAAGCAAATGCATGTACATCATCATATATTATTATACTACAAAAGTGATTACTGACCGATTAATGTTCAACAGGATCAAATTTTAAGTGCGCATCCTACCATAAAATAATGTACATGAAAACAAGATCAAATTTGAACCAGATAAAATATTAGTGGGTATACACAAAAACAAAAATCTAACGACATAAAAAACAAAAATCTTGGTCGACATAAAAAAATAGGGGCCCAAAAAAATAAATAACCTGGATCGACGGGTTTTATTAATCTGATTTACATCGTCGTTTCTCTGTGTTCTTCCGTTTGTCAGTACACACGTAAAGCACGCACATAATGAATGGACTACACAAACAACAGGGGTATACACCAGGCTATGATAATAATCATGATCATTATTAAAGACTGCATTTACATAGCACATAGCAACGCTCTATAGCATTCTCTATGCGCTTTATTACTGCTATTATTTATTTCGACCCCCCCTCATACTGAACTATGAACCTTGTGGCTCTGGTTCGAATCCCCAAACAGAGCGTAATTTGAAAGTTATACATGGCAATGTATTGCTCAAAGAGTTCCCTTGAATAGCATGCTTCCTTGATATGATCGTGTCATAGATGGAAGCTGAAATGAATCGGAGATCCGACCTCTTTTAGAGACCTAACTGTATTGAAAGTTACGTAAAAACCTATACAACTGACACAATCCTAATTTGCCCTCTGGCACATCCCACAGCAGTACACGCGGTCCGCTTAGCGTAACGCTATGTCGTCGCATACCTGGCCATTTTATCTTTTATTTAAAGTAGAAAGTCAGACTTAACTTAATTGCGAGTTGTGGTGAGACGTGACTCTTGCACTGTATCTTTGTTAATCAATGTCGCATCGGTATTGGAAATATCACGATACAGTATCCATACCATAATGACAATTTTTTATCACAAGAAAGAATCATTAAGCATAATTGTAACAATATGTTTACAAACATAATATGTGATCTCTGTAAACAATGACATAGACTAAATGGACATAAAAGAGTAATTGTAATCATTTTTTTGGAAGGTCATCAAGATAACAATAACATTTCACATGTCTATCACAGGCACTGATCTGATATGTTTCTCTATTTTTTTAACGGGTTTAGATATTACCCCCCCCCCCCTG